TCTCTAAGAATCTTTCACTTCGACAAAATTAGAAAAAAAAAGAAAGATAAAATAAAATCAAAGACAAATCTTCGTTAGAGAATCATTTATTGGTATTCGATCAACCAACAAAATCATTTAAGAGTTTTGTAGGAGGAAGAAAAAGTGGGGTTGCAATAAGTCGGAGGGACACCCTCGACAGATTTACCAGAAAGGAGATCGAGAGGGAAGAAATCAGTAGAGGTAAATACGCGTGGCGTGAGAGAGCGAGCGAGAGCCGATGGATAAGAAGCAATCGAATCGAATAGTGGAACTCGTGGAATCCGCAATCCGTCGCGAAGTGAATGGCGAACGCCTAAGGGTTTTCTATGGCCGGGTATGCCGGTCGTCTCTTCCTCTGTCCGTCGACCTAGCCTAACCTGGCGGGAACTTGAGATTAATGTGGTAATCGCTGAATCAGCGGAAGACACGAAAAAAAAAAAAAGGAAGAGGTATCTTCCTCTTTCATGGCAACGATACTTTTCTCCTCGAACGAGCAGTCGAGGGAATCTTGGAGGTGCTCGACGATAAACAGGAAGTGTCTGTGATTCACCATTGTGATCCTGGATGATATATAATAGGCGCAAAGAGAATTTCTACGTTGATGAATTTATTTGGAGTTATTTTATGCAATGATTATTTCTAGTAAGTAAATTTAATAAATTAAATTTTGTATAGAAGAATTTTCGTATGACTAGATGAAAAAAAATGGCGAAATATGTCACTTTTTTATTCGAATCGAGATACGTGTTTTCTTGATGATCAAAAATAAAATCTATTGTACAAAAGTTGATTTTCTTTAGATATTAAATTTATTGATATAATTGGTTCCAATTATATTCAAAAACCAAGTATGCATATATAAGTTAAAATAAAACAATTTTACAATTAATATTACAAATTTACAAACAATTTTACTTTTAAAAAATTCTGTATTCACATTGTAGGCATTCAAAGCCCAATTCTACGGCGTGTCTGTCGACATAATATTCTTTTCCACTTACTTTACGTTTCATATTACAACTTGAAATATTTTTTCACGATATAATAATAAAAATTCTATCCGAATGATTTCCCCTGTTAAAAATTAATTTTAACGATATTCTAATTTTCTCAAAATCGTTCGAAGATCGTCATCGATTATCCAAACAAACGGGCACGAAAAGAACCGGCATCCCTCGAAAAGCAAAGCGGGCAATATCCAACTTCCTTCATCGATACAGATTCTGAAAAACGTTTTGCCGTAAATAATCGAGACTCGAGGAAAAAGCAGCAATAACAGGATACACCGACTCCTCGATACAACGGTGGATACGCGTATATAACGCGCGTGTATCGCGCAAATAAATACTCGAGGCCAAGGGATGGCGTGGAAGGAAAGAAGGGTTGGAAGCTGTGCCAGTCACGGAAGAACCTCGCCGGTACGCGGAGTAAGTGCAATAATACCAGATTATTTGCATCGCAAAGCCGTGCGTATGGGTAAACACAATATTCGCTCTCTGCTCGGCTCTGTGAACCGATAGTGCGCTCAGGTAGATAACGCATACGTCTGTACCATTCTCTATCCGTCTTTGTCCCCCTCGTTTCGACCCCGTGTCGATCCTCTTCGTTCAACAGCGACAGATATCCATCGTTCATTCTCTCTCTCTCTTTCACCCTCTCTGCCGCCACCCTGCACCCTCTCCTTCTCACCTTTATCGTGGTCCGTGTCTATCGTGCCCTCTGTCTCGCTCGCTCTCTCGACTATCGATGCCATCTTCCTCCGATCCAATACGTTCCCGCAGTTTCTATCCTCGTCTAACTCTCTATGTACCACCGCGGCGTAATACAGATTCTATTTGAGCTGCCTGAGGGAAGTTAACTCGTGATGCGTGCAGCTCGGCTCGCTCTGTTGGCGATACTACGGGGATCCGATCGTTCTCCATTTCGAAGCTGCAAATCCAAGGACCTTAAACCTCGCGACCTGCACGCCTACACAAGCGGTGTCAATTTTGATCATCCGCGAATTTGACAATTTTTCTTTTTTTCCGAATCTTTCTCTTTCTCGTTTGGGAACGAATATTTTCCAAAATCTTTCGATTTCCACCGATCGGCGAGAATTGGAATTTGGAATTTTTACGAACGATCGAAGATACCTATCAAAAATTTGACGAGGAACGAATAATATTATTGTTCATTTCAATCCTAATCAATCTTGCATCGATTCAACAATATTCCCGAAACTAATCCCCGAAAAAAAACTCGATCTCTCCTCCTCCCGAAATTCCCCCGAAAAGGAAATACGTCCCTCTACCTATATCCTCCTACCAGCCAAAATATATTCCAAATCCCCATAATCCCCAGCAAAGGCAACAAGGCCGAAGACACAGGAAATTGCGCACAGGTGGACGAGATACATTCCGGGTATCGAACAGATCTCACCCCTTCCCCCTCCCCCTCCCTCCCTCCCTCTCCTTCCCTCCCCCCGCGCCGTCTGCACAGGTTCTATTAGCACGTAACGCCTGGTCCTTTCGCCGTGCCGCTCAAAGCAAAGCAGCCCCCGCCGAGTGTTACAATTTCGCCCTTCCCCTCTCTCCCCCCCCTCCCTCCCCACCCCACCCTATCCCGCTCCTCTCAAAGTCCCTTTATCTATCCCGCTATTTTCCTAACTCCGACGCCCCCTCCGGGCCTTTCTCCTCCGCTTTCGCGGTGACGACAACGACTCCTCTTCCTCCCTCCTGAGGCGGAAGCGTACCGCGCGGTCGGATCCGGCCGGAACACCGGGCGGAGTGGAGGGGTGGGGGGATAGGGAGAGACACAGCCACCCCTTCGTACGTACCCTTGGCGCGCGAGGGGTGGCTCGAAATGCCCGCCCATCGGTCCGCCCATGTTAGGACGAAAGCAGTCAACTTGGGCTGAATCAATTCGGCCCACGATCTCGCCTCTCGTAGACGGTCCATCAACGGCGCGGGAGCTGCGGCCACTCGCGAATCGCGCCTCGCGTAAGCTTTCGACACCACGCATTTTCGCAAGCTTTAGAAG